CTTATTCGAGTCTGTGGGTTGGTGAAGAACTAACCGGTGTCAGAGTGTGGATCTGAGTTCAGTTTTGCCGTTTCGACGAAGGAGCACACTTGTACTGTGTATGCTGAATCACTGACCATACTGATGGGCTTGCTTCACAGTTGTCAGTAGCAGAGAGAGAGCAGATATTCCCATGCTTTTGAGCAGAGGTGTAACAGGTTTGAGAAGGTTGAGAGGAGGGACCCCTGTAGCTGCTATGCCATCACCAGAGGCGTCTGTGAAGTTAAGTGGGGCCTCCCTCAATTGGCTTGTGTGACGAGACCTTGTTAATAGTCCAAGGAGTCTGCTTTAGGAACCCCGAGAACTTCCCTGGTGGGGGTATGACAATCTGACTTTCCACAATATTCATCTGAGGCTATCTGGAAATCTAAAGAAAATTCTAAAAGCGTCCTTATTTGAGCTGGGGTATGTTAGATCTCTCAGGGGAGAGGTGTACCTCGGTCCTTGGCTCTGCGCGAGAAAGAATTCACGCTGAAGCCTGGTTTGTGATCCAAGTGAGTTTGATGAGTTAGAAGAAGTTTCAGTTATACACAGGCACCGCAGGGCTCCTCCCGAACATGCAGCCTTCCTAGAAGCGGCTCTCAAGGCCATGCGGTTGGCTCCAGGCTCCTGCCTTTACAATTATTCCATGGGGAGGCATGGTGGATGATCCTGGTCGACCCCATTGGCTCAATTGAATTCACTTGGCCTAGATGGGCCAATCCAGGTGCAGCACCCACCCAGGTGTACCTCCCCTTCCTGGCGGGAAACCTGAACCTCTGAGCATGCGCAGTGTGCCACTCCTTGTTCTGTTAGCTCGGACCTCTGGGCATGCGTAATGGCGACCCAGCCTCTAAGCCAGACTACCTAACATTCCCCCCTGAAGAGATATGGACCCAAATCCTTGGGGTACTGGGCGATGACATCTCTAGCTACTTTCTGCTGACAAAAGGGGCGAAGTGGGGTTTGGAGTCCACACCCTTCCTACTCTGTTGGAAGGGGTTGTCCATTCAGGGCCCGGGATGGATAAGGTTGAGGTGGTCCAGGAGATGGTGGTCCTGGAGATGGCACCCTTGGTTCAGAGGCGTTGGTAACCTGAGAACTTCTGGAAAAAGAAACAAAGGTCGCCCCAGCCGCTAAGCTAGACTACCTAGCAGGTATAAGGCAGAGTTGTGACAGAAGGATCATACCCACCAAGGTGCTGACAGCGGTGTCTGCGCTTGGTGATTACCTGTGCTGCGTGTTCCCAGGAAGTCCAAATAAGCTCAGGGCCCGTATTGTCCAGGTGCATCCAGGCTTATGCTCTCGGGCTAGTGCAGCAGTGAGGAGATAGGAGTGTGAAAAACCCCAAGGTGGATGCTATTGTCTGCATCAACTCACAAATCTTCCCCATAGCTGGTGTCTTCTTCTTCTAACTGCAGCTGGCATTGAGCTATAGGAGGGGGCGCTCTAGGACGATTTAGCTGTGGGTCCCCGTTAGGGTATCAAATAAGTGTCGGAGCTCTTCCGTGGGCACGCCTAAAATTGGTCTCACCCAATTTATGCCTCCGAGGAGCTTCTGAAAATCATTTAATGCTCTTAGATGATCTTTGCTAATCTCGAGTTCCTGTGGCCTAATCGTGGTCCGACCTACCATGTTCCTAAGTAAGTATGAGGACTGGTAGTTTGAATCTTATCAGGGGAGAATACCAATCCTGCCTGAGAGACGGCTTCTCTGACATTCACGTAGGTCAGTTGTAGCATGTCATTGTCAGGTGCAGCTATTAAAATATCATCCATGGGGTGGATTACGTAATCCTCAGAGAACAGTCTTCTGACTGGCTCTCTTTTCCTATGAAAAACGGACACGTGGTTGCACTGTTTACCATGCCCTGAGCTAGTCTTTAGATGGTATCTTTTCGTAGTAGCTCTATGCTTTAGTTCTGGAACAGTAAATGCAAATCTTTCATGACCAGCTGGATCCAACTGAATAGTGTAAAAACAATCCTTTAAGTCTATCACCAGCATGTCCCAGTGTTTTGGAACCATGCTGGGTGAAGGAAGTCCTGGCTGCAGAGTCCCCATGGGCTGTGTAATAGAATTAATGGCTCTTAAGTCTATGAGCATCCTCCATCTGCCTGACTGCTTTCTAATTACAAACACAGGGGAATTCCAGGAGCTAAGAGTCTCTGCTGTGTGACCCTCTCTGGGCTGTTCTTGACCTTAGTTGTGTAGGGTCTGCAACTTCCCACTATGAAGGGACCACGGTTCTGTCCAAATAGGGTCATTAGACTTCCACGTTAGTTTGATGGGGGCAGGCCTCACAACAGTGGTCCCAGTTAGAAATTTGGATATCCCAAGCCATCGCGGTTGCTTTTGAGAGACCTCGACTGGGGAAGGCTCTCCCTGTTCATTTCCTTATAACCCATATTCCTCATGGCATTCTGCCCTATGAGATTCTGTGAAGGGATATATAATCTAGCTCCCCATTGGTGTCACAGATCTCTCTCCCGGCCAAGTTAATGGGGGTAAGATTTACCAGTGGTTTAAAGAGCGTCTGTCCTTCAGGACCCGGAGGATCTTGCCACTTTGCCACGCCTGTTCTTGGTCAACTTCTCCTGTACCTTCCATGGTGAAACTAGTCGATGACTCATGACTGAGTCAGCTCCCGAATCTAAACGTCCTGAAAATTCTTTCCCTTTAGTCATTAACTCCATAAATGGACACTCTCGTTTATCCATGACAGCCTTCCAGAAGATCCCATGACCCAAGGGTGGACCTGAATTTTCTGGCTTTTCTCCCTGATTGGTGCTGTTTCTGTTCACAGGGATATGGGATGCTCAGAGTAATTGTCCTGTGCAGT